AAATACTTATTAGTAATAAGGAAAATTCAACTTAAGATTAAATGAGAAAGTATTTTAAATTACTAAATTATCAAAACTTTTAAAATCTAATACTATTTGGCAACATTGAAAAACTAGGGGAGCTCTTATTCGATGTTAGTGGGAGTGTAAACAGTCTCAGCTCTTCTGAAAACAGTTTGGCTTTATGCTGTAAGGTGGACCGTTTGCATCCCCTACTACTCAATATTTCATTCTTAAGTGTACACCAGAGAAGTTCTTGCCCAAGTGGGCCAGAAGACATAGGCCAGAATGTTCATAGCAGGATCATCCATAATAAGAAAACATGAATATCTATATACTCATCAACAGGAAAATGGATGAATTGTAGTATGTTTCAAGATCCCCCAAAGTGATTTTGACTACTGAGGAAAGGAAGACTTTAAAAGATGAACTGTAGGCTGTAAAATTGCAAATTATTCCATTGAGAAAAGAAAATTGAATGGAATGATTCAGCTCAACCTGTGTTAGTTGACTAGGGTGGATAGAAGTCAGTGTGGCTGCACAAGGAACTCTCATGGCCCAGATTTTAGAAGGACACATAAGAAAGATGGGAAAAGGGAATTGTAATGCAGGATAAATGTCTGGCTAGAACCTGTGGGTATAACGCAGCAAAGCGGCAGACTGAAAAACAACAACAAAGATACTCTAAAGACAGCAAAATAGTGCCTTTAAAGCTGTTTCTTTTGGATTGAGAACAAGGAAAAGGAGAGGCCCAGTGCTGAGGCAGATGGTGTAATGTTACATGATGAGAAAAGGCAGGATTTTCAGCTCTCAGCTTTTCTGTTTTCTTTATCAAGGGAAATGGTCCTCAACCTAGAAATGTTAAACAAATATCTAGTAGAGGAGACTGAATCTAGTTGAGAAATCAAGGTGAGAAAAATGGGAGAGCTATGAATTCAGGTTTCCAAGCTGGGATGAAAGACAATATATTGAGTAGTGTCTTGCATGTGGCATCAGTCAGACACTGTTAAATGGACCAAATTAATCTCCTGGTGTTGATAACTTATAGATAAAACCTCAGGCTTTGGAAATTCATAGAGAATTCCAGAACCAAAAGTCTAAAGATGAGTACATATTCTATTTTTCACATGGGAAAGAACATCAATTCTGAATCTTGTGAAAATTCTAGAAAGGATGATTAAAGTACTTGTGAATATTTAGAAAGCAATTGAGATTACTAGGAACCATTGGTGTTTACTGAGAAGCTGTGAAAAACAAGTGTCATTTCCTTTTCTGGGTGAAGTTGCAAGGTTTGTAGTGCCAGTGACAGAGCAGATCTTGTGAAGCTTGATTTCAGGAAATTATTTTGTTATCAAAGTCTCCTGTAACAGCCTCATGGACAACATATAGGAACGTGGGCTGGATGACTGGGTGCATTTAGTCTGTAGAACAGCCTCACCCAAAGGCTGAGAAATGTCCCTAATAATGGGCCAGATGGCTCTGTTCTTGGTCCATTCCATGTGATATTTTGTTTTTCAATATTGCACAAAGGTACAGGATGCCCATTTATTAATTATGCAGAATCCCAAAGCTAGGAGACATGTGTCAACTGGCTAAAATATTCAAAAGATTTCTCCACCATGGAACAAAATAAACAGGATGATATTTAAAAGGATGCATATAAAGTCTTGAATTAGGTTAAAAAGAGGATCAGTTGTATAAGTAGAACATGAAGTCTCCATACTTAACCACCACTGGTGTGGAATGACCAGATTCATTTACACGTTAATAAGAACCCAGTAAAGACACAGCTGCTAAAAAGACTTCTGCAATCCCGGGCTCAGGGTGAAGGTGCAGGAGGATCTCTACTCTGAACTGTTGATATTGTGTTTGATTCTGGACTCTCAAGGAGTATCCTGAAAAATTAGAGAGCAAGCAGAGGTGGGCAGCCCTCTTGGGACAAAATGATTAATAACCTGGAGGTGCTAACTCTGGGAAAAGAATACTTCAGTGGATCATGAAATCTGTCTTTCAATATGTGGATGTCTTTTGTGTAAAATATGTAGTTATGTGTTCTGTATTATCCTCCAAAGGGCAAAATTGGACTTAGTAGCTAGCAGCCAAACAAAGGCCAAAAGAAAGAAGTTTCCAATACTTAGAGAATGCAGCCCTGTGGTGGGCGAGGTCTGCCATCACATGGAGAGATATGGTAGAGGCTGGAGTGGGAGGGAGGTACAGGAGTCCCCATGGCTGAAACACATGACCTCTAAGGGTTGCTCCAAGTCATATATTGTATGATTTCAATCATGACTATTAACATTTATTGAGCTTATATTATGTGCCAGGGCTGGGTTAAGGACTGTATGTACATAATCCCACTGCATCTTTGTAACAGATAAGGAGACTGGGGCTCATGGAGGTTATAAGTATTCAGGCCAATCCAGGAGTAGGTAGAAGAGTGGAATATGATCCCAAATCTGAGTTGAAAGTACATGCTTGTAACTCCTATATTTTATATGATCTCCGGTCTGTGTACTTCATGCCTTCACACAACAACGAGCACCCAGATGCCGTGCTCTTTACCTCCTTCTCTCCCTGGAAAACTCTTATTCATGCATTTGGACTGAAGTCACCTGCTGTCTTCTCTCTGAGGCCTCTCCCCACTTACTGCGCACAAGATTAATTGCTTCCCTTCTGTGTTGCCATAGCAAAAGGTGCGTTGTACTCTGTTTGGCTATGTGGTGTTGGTTTTCCCCAGTTTCTTGAGGAGCTGGAACTAATGCTTATACATCCTTGTCCTCAGGGCCACAAATAATGCTTAGCGAGTGTTGGTGCTCTGCATGCTTATAAGTTAATTCGTTTGGTCATTCATACAAGAAACCTAAGGGAGGATAACATCTTGCTTATTTCTCTCCCTCCTCTCCCCACATTTAATCTTTCCTGTATAAAGCTCTACATATAATTCTCCTATGAACCACTTATGTTCTGCAGCATTAAGTACAAGTGCCTTAATGTGACATTCAGGGGTTACTATGGTGGGATCCTCACACACTCCCAGGCCTCATCATGCACCTCTCCATACCCCGAGTCCTTCACCATCTCTCTCTCCACCACCTTCTGTCTTCTCCTCTGTCTTTACTCACATTGCTCCCTCTTCTTAGAAATGTCCTCTCTCATCCATTGTTTCCTCTCAGAGTGTTATCCATTTTTCAACATCCCAGTTCAAATGCCACCTCCCTTGGGAAGCCCAACTTCACACCCTGAGCAGGAAAACTCTCCCTTCTCTGTTTTCCTAGAGTGCATTTCTGCTGCTTTGTTGTGGTAACAGTTTTCTAATGTGCTATTTTATTCTAGCTCTTTAGATCCATCTAACCCAAAAGATTATCTAACAAAACCCTTTTTGGAAGGCACTATGTTTTGTTCTCTCCACATTTCTCATTGTATGTAGCATTATCTATCACTGCATTCCCCAGGACCTAAAGTAGTACCCAATACCTATTCAATAAATTGGTGTTATTGGATGGATGGATGGATAGATGGATGGATGGATGGATGGATGGATGGATGGATGGATGGATGGATAGATAGATAGATGACTAATTTCATCAGCAATAAAGATCTGCATTATAGGACCAGTTTGCCCATTAATTACTATATAATTGTGAGCATTGCAATAAATCTCTCTGGACCCCAGTTTACTTAACAAGAAGGTGGTCATAAAGACCAGGAGAAAAGGGAACTCATTTTATGGATGACTTGCTATATACAGGGCACTGTGCTAGGGGCATTGTTTACCCCACATAACTATGAGAAGGAGGGAAGGAGTGAGGAGGAGACAGTGGTATACAGTGAAAAGTGTGGGTTTAGGATAAAGCTCACTTGAGTTCAAGCCCTGACTCTGCCACTTACTAACTGTGAGCTTGGCAAAGTCACTTTAATCTTTAAACGTCTGTTTCCTCAGCTATTAAGTGGTGATAATAAGGGAACCTATGGGAGAGTTTGTTGAGAGGATTGAATGAAATGCTGCACATATAAGGCACATTGTCCGTTGGCACAGAATCACTGCATAATAAACAACAGCACATCGTTATTGTCATATTACCTGTGTGTCTTATTGTTCAGTATAATCAAGGAAGAAGCAGAGACTCTGAGAGGTTAAGCAGCTTGCCCAGGATCACACATGTCTTCTATCTGCACTGTTTTCCCCTCTGCTTTGGGGCCCTCCAGGATAAATCCTTTAGTGAGCTTTGTGATGCAGCCTGTGTCCTCACTTCAGGGTGAGACACTGGCAAGCTGACTCCGTGTTGCTACTTCTCAGATATGCCCAGATTTTCACATTTAATTATCTAAACATTTAGTTTCTAACATTGACTATCTAAAAGCAGTGTTACTTTTCTCATGGTTATTCTTCTGTTTCATAGGGATCATAATCTAAGTTATAAGAATGTATGAGTGTAACTTTCTCCCTGTGAGACTGAAAGCTAATAACATTTTTTCCCATCATTTGGCTTTTTTTGTGCAAAAAATCAAAATGCCAGTCACCATTCCTCTATCAAGGCTCAAATGCACTATGAACCTCTCTCCCCACGAAGGGAGCCACAGCCCACCTAGGCACTCAGTAGTCATTTGATTTGGGGGAAGAAAAGGAGGAGGAGATAGTAACCAGCAGAGTTACTAGGGTTTTCTCTGTGGGGGATGTGGCACACAAACTACAGAAGTTTTGCAGAGAACATACAGTAGGCAGGGGAAGTTTCATGTATGGCAGGACACTATCAAGGTTACGTGACCCTTGGAGCGGAAATATTCATGCTCTACATGTCCAAGAGACTGCCTCCAGAGCATACACAGGTGGGTTTTATTTGTTATGCCCACAACCTCAAGGCATCCACAGGCCAGCAGGGGGCTGCCACCTGCTGCGCCCTGTTCAATACAGACATGGCCCACTAACGTAGCTCCTACGCAGTTTGATCATGGGGAGAGAAACGCCAGTCTAACACATTTGCTGTTGATTTCTTAAGCAGATTCAGGCACACAGGATGAAGCACAGCTTTTGCAGGAATGGTTTAAGCTCGTTCTGGAGAAGAATAAATTAATGCGATATGAGTCGGAGCTACTGATCACGTAAGTTAAGGCAACACAGAAAACAGTGAGTCCGAAAAGCAAAGGGGGCGGGAGTGGGGTGGCTCACCCCCCTGGTTGAAGTCCCAGGAATTTTTCGCCCTGTGCATACAGAATTGTGATTGAGGCAAATTGATACTTGGTGCCTTGCATATCATGCTGGCATTAGTGCAGAGAATCTTCTGTTGTCTGTTCTCTCTGCTGAGTTCTATGATGGAAATAGACTTCAAGTAATGCGCCTGGAGCTGGAGGGCATTTGGATAAAGTATTTTCCACCCGTTCCCGTCCCCCAGACCACAGGGGACCCACCTGCAGTCACACACCAGAGGTGGGGACGCGTGTGGCTGGCCTCTGCATGTGAACTCTGGGAGGGGCTTGGTGAGAGCTGCCTGGCTACTTCTTGGAGCTTCATGAATTGAAGGACTGAGATCTTTCTGTCCTTTCTGAGAGGTTACAGCCTGATGGGAGACCAGAAAGTAAAGACAGGTCTCACTACACTCAAAAAAGTTGGCAGGTCATTATATACCTGTCACCATTCTAGAGGGAAAGAAAGGAACATAAGAAACACTTAATATGAACTGACTAAGCGTTTGGGTGCACATGTTGTACTGGGTGCTTTCACTTATGCTGTCCTGTTTATTGTCACCCCAACTCTGGGAAGTAATTCTGGAGGTCTTTGAAGGGGTCTAATTCAATTCCTCTTCCTGCCTAGGCTTTGAATCAGGTAAGAAATAAGACAACCAAATCAATAGATGTAACATCAAAATATTGCCTTTCTTACCAATAGTAGCTAGCGTGGTTAAATATGAGAGTACAGGTGGGCTTGCTAACTGTATTAGTTTCTTAGGGCTGGAATAACAAATTACCACACCCTGGGTGGCTCTCCACAACATAAATATGTTCCCTCATTGTTCTGGTAGACAGAAGTCTGAAATCCAGGCATTAGGAAGGCCGTGCTCCCTCCGAAGTTGCTGGGGGAAATCCTTCCTGGCCTCCTTCAGCTTCCGGTGGCCCCAGGCATCCATGGCTTGTGGCCAGATCACCCAATCATGGCCCCTGACTTCACATGGCCTTTTCTTTGTGTCTGAGTCTCAACTAGGGGCTATTTTGTCCCCCAGGGGATAATCAACAATGTCTGGAAATGTTTGGGGTTGTCACAACTAGGAGGTGCTACTGGTATCTAGTGAACAGAGGCCAAAGGAACTAGTGAACACTATATAATGCACCAGATAACCCTCACCCCCACCAACAAAGAATTATCCAGCCTAAAATGTCAATAGTGTCAACAGTGAGAAATCTTGCCCTAGACCTATGGCAAGGCTCAGAGTAACCAGTCAGGCCGACTCTAGGAGAGAAAGGATATGAACTGAGTTCACCTAGTCTATTTTTCCCAAATTTACCTCCTGTGGGGTGAGAGTGAGTAAGAGTGGGGATGGGGAGGAAGCCAGAAGTCATACTCACTGAGCTCTGCTGGCATGGGAGGAAAGACCAGGAAAGGGGAACAAGGGGTCATCTGTGGTGATTATTTTTTCTACCACTATTTTTTAAATTAATGTACATACTGAGACTCAGAGCAACTAAGTAATTTGTCCACGTCCATCTGATTACAAAGCCCTTTTACACAACCATACCATCTGCCTTTAGACCAGACCTGAATTACAATGTTCCTTCAGCAAAAATGTATCTAGCATATTCTTTGCCAGGAGCTGTGCTGGGTACTGTGGAAAAGAGAATGAGTAAGGCTGCATTTCTGTCTTCCAGGATCTTGTGGTTTCAGACATGCAAACCCATAGCACAGTGGTGAGAAGAAAACACAGCAAGAGCCCCAAAAAGGTTCATAGAAGGAGCAGACAGTGCATAGACTACCTGCAAGAGTCAGGTGCTGGTGGCCACCGCTGTGCTCCCTGACTGTGCTTCCCTAGTTGGTACACTGTCAGAGGGGTCCTCCTCCTCCAATAGAGGCCAAAGAGAAGAACCCAATCCTGGGAGCAAGACAAAGACAGGAGCTCTGTTAAAGAATAGGTTTTAGTTTGGAGAAAGACCTGGTTGAACATGGAGAAACATCTTAGATTGGTGTGTTGATTTGGGTCCTTCAGAAAAGCAGGGCAGAGTTAGAATTATAAGAGCTGTATTGGGAAAAGGGGAAAAGGGAGTGGGAGTAGGAGAGAAACCTTCAGACCCACTGCAGCCCTGATACCTGTGAAAGGAGAGGTGATGGGAAGCAGGAGCCGCAGACTGTAGTGCAGGCCCAAGGAAATCTCATCCAGGCCACAGGAGGCACCAGAGCAAAGACTGCCCATCAAAGGAGTCCAAAGTGGGGCAGGGATGGCCCAGCTCCAGTATCACTGCTGTGCTCACTCAGGGTAGGAGTTCCCCAGGGACAGCATGGCTTCAGCACAACACTGAAGTGGATTCTGAAGCAGCAGTCAGCTCACTGCCCTCCTTCCAGAAAGTTCTCTCTTAAAGAAAGTTCTAAGTGGCCACTTCCATTGGCTACCAGAGTGGGCCAAGAGAAGTTCTGTATCCATAACAAAAGGCAGAATATTGAAGAAGGCAGGGACCTTGGCCCAAGTAGTAGCAGAAGTGGTAAAATAATGGCAATGACAGGGCACAGCAAAGTACGCAGCAGACTGCAGGTGGGGCCAGAAGGGAAGGCGCCCACGCCCACCCAGGGACCTATCCTCACCCTTGTCAGTGGCTCTGTAACAGTGAACACCGTTGGCTGCTCCTCTCTCCAAGCTTTCCTCTCTTGGTTTCGCTGATGCTGCATTTCTTGTTCTATCCATCCAACCTCTTGATTGCTTCTTCCCTGACTCCACCTCTTTTGTTTGGCTTCTAAATGTAGGCATTGCCCAGCTCTTGTCTTCAAACCTTGTCTTTCTCTATAGTCTCCCTTTTAGGGATCACATAACCAGCTATCCCCTGTGATCCCTGCCACATGTGTTCATGGTCCTCATTCGTCCTGAGAACTCCAGACTTGTAATCACAAAGCCGAGGGGAACTTTCATATTGCCACATGGCCTGGCAGGTGGGGAGTTTACACACACTCTGGGGTGTGCATGGGGTGCCCCCAGGCCCTGAATGGCCACAAAGGTCTAAACTGACCTTCACTGAGAACGCGCTGCACTTACTGACTTGGCCAGTCCTGGCAGTGGGCCCTCCACTTGACTCAACTCTTCAGCTTGACTGCAAAGCATCCCTGTCTCTTCTCCCCACGTCTACAGCCAGATGGACAGGTGGATACGTTTACTGCCTCCACCTGGACGGAATGTCTCACTCCTGTGTTCCCCTTGTTTCCTTGTTTCCCACCATCAGAGATTTGGGAGTTGCAAGAGGTGATCTTGAAGTCACATAGCCCCTCAAAGAGAGAAGAGCATCAGATTTTCTTTACTTCTCCCAGGACTATTCTAGTCATTTCTTCATGACCCATCCCTCAACGATGGCCTGATGGCCTCCCAAAAGATCACATCATGACTTTTCAGCCACTCCCCAGCATCTCTCAAGTTCAGCATATCTCAGCCTTTTTTCTAGGAAGTTTTAGTGACCCCAGAAACAGCAAAACTTTCAATTTAGAGATAGTCCAAGACCCCAGTTTTAATAAGGAAAAAAGAATACAGTAGCTATAGTCAGTGGGCTTCTCAGTCAATATTTCTATATAGATCTCCAGTGTTAGTATTAAGTTTGAACATCTGCTCCTCCTCAGGGCCCAAGAACTAGAATTAGAAGATCATCAAAGCCGACTGGAGCAGAAACTGAGAGAGAAAATGCTCAAGGAGGGTGAGTATGGTGATACATGCTGTGCCCTTACTCTTTTTGCAGGAAGATGCTTGAGCAGAACACACTGCAGATCTCAAAGGGAAGTGCCCTTCTGCGTGGTGCTACCTGCCTGGGAGTCAGGAGGGAACACAGTGCCAGCCTTCCTTCTGCCCACCACTGGCACCACAAGTCCCTTTTAGCTTTGTTCACCTGGGCTATGAGAGCAGCATTTTGCTCCATCTCATGTGCTCATAGAACAGTCATTCATTTCTGAGCCATCCATTCAGTAAACAAATATTTGTTGACAATCTAGTGTGGGGCCCGGCATATGGAGAAGAGCAACCCTGCCCTATGGTCTCAGTGGGGAGACCAAAACTCAGACCAGTAATTACGGTGCAGGGAGGTGAGGGCCATGAGCATAGAGGAGGGTGGGCCTAGATCTGCGAGGCACAGGAGGTGGTGAGGGAAGCATCCTTCCCAGCATGCGCTGGGCCAGGGCATCATGTGAGAAAATGATTTCACCATGAAGGAGGGGGAGTTGAAATAAACTCAGCTGACACATTATATACTGTTTTACACATTCATTTACTCCAGCCCACTAGGCACATTCACTCTGTTTTGTTCCTGTTTGTGGGACCAGGTATGTCCCTGCTTTCCTACACTTAGACCCAGGTCTAAAAGAACAAATTAAGTAATTTCTTTATACCTCATGGAAGGAACATTGCATCTACCTGTAGGGTTGCCTGGCACAGGGCAAGCCCTTAGCAAATATCTGATGTCATTGTCATGATCATATTTACTTATTTTGTCCTCACTTTATAGATTAGAAAACTGGGTTTCTGGGAACTTAAAAAGCATGCTCAAGGTAAACGATGGGGCTCAGTTACAGGAACAGACCACCACAGACTTAGGGTCTCCTGTTCTTTTCCACATAGTAGTGATTTGTGGACTGTTTCTCTACAGCAACAGAATTATTTTTCCAACAAAATCTTTACAGAGCTACACTATATAGAAGAAATAAAAGTGGTGTACATCATCTTGTGTTTGTCGGAAGGGGCTCAGATGAGTCCATTGATGATAAACCAAAATTGAGAGAGGAATTTTTTATTTTTCTATGATAATCGAATAAGCATCAATACCGGAGTATACCTAAATTAACAAACCATAGTGTATAACTAATATCTGATTTACACATGTAATAAAAATCTTAATTTGCTCTGCTTTAGGATGGTAAATAAATATCACCAATGACTCCATGGCCACCTTTGAATCTTTTTTAAAAATCTTATCAAGAGTGATGGTCATACATTTTCTCATTCCTCTCAGGTATATAAAAAATATTTTTTTCATTTTGTCATTTTCATTTTGTCATTTTCATTTTGTCTGTACCTGAACTTATCTTCTACAATAGCTTCATCCCACTAGTTAGCAAGAAAAAAAAAGGAACTTTATTTATCCCTCTCTGATTAACTTAGTCTGATGCAACACTTTTAAACAGTCCCTGTAGGAAATGCTCAGTCCCTCTGGGATGAAAATTTTCCATGTTGCAGACACCCGCCCCTTCCTTCTGCTGCCAGGTGGCAGAGAGAGGCCAGTAGGTGTGGCTTCAAGACATCAGGAATCTGTACAGATTGTGCTGTTTCTTGAGTCTCCACACAGCTTTCTCCAGCCACAGGGTGCCACTCTCTCTGCTAAAAGTTGCAGCTAAGTGTGGCTGGCGTGCCCGCAGCCCAGCCATTCTCTCAGCACGTTTGGAGTCTGGTGGCATTCCCTGTCTCGCTCAGCCTCACCTCGGCACAGCCCTTCTTCAGCTGGGCCAGTCTCCACTGTGGGGCCACCTCACTCCTCACCCTGAGGGAGCCACATGCTAAGCCCACTGGCCATACCTTTGGCAGCTCTGGGGCAGGTGGGCACTTTGAGGCCCTGCCCCTGCCACACACAATAGGTAGCAATCTGGGGGACCACACTGACGAGTCTTCTCTGAAGCACTGTCCCCTGTTTGTCCACAGGGTGCCCTTCAAGCCTGCTTCTTCCCAGAGTTCTGAATAAGGGAGAGGGGAAGAATCCTGTGGCTCCCCTAGTGTCCCCATCAAGTGATGTGACATTTCTTGCTCCCCTGGGGGGCTTCCAAGAGCTAGAATGGAGAGACTGGAGTATGGAGCTCTTCTTCTCTGCTTCTCCTGCCTCTCTCTTCTCTCTCCCATAAAACATGGGGCACAAAGGGAATATACTTCTTGATCTCCCTTTTGTTATATGTACCTCCTTCCTGACCCTGTCCTCACAACCAAGCCTGACGCGAGAAACTGTGTCACCTTCTCTACTCCAGGACGGGGCTCACTGCCTCATCCCCAGCATGCTAAATGGAAGGGGCTAAACAAATGTATAAAGTCCTCTCCCAAGGCAATCACCTGGTTGACAGGATTTACATCTGCCTTTAAAATTCTATTTTGAGCATCAGAAAGTCATTACTACCTGTTTCTTATTTTTTCCCTTCCTTTTATAACAATTTAAATCTCCCCCAGGCAATCGGATGCCTCAGGCCAATTGGGAAGAAGTTCATGTTCTCAGAAGGCAAAGGGGAAAGGCATGACCACAGCCTGGAAACATGGTCCTACTGGCCAACCATAGGCTCATTTTGCTTCCGCCTGGTCTACTCAAAGGGCTGCGATTTGTCATTAATTACAAATGGAAGGAGGATTCTCATCATTGAACTAGTAGCCAGTGTCATTGATGTTTACTTAGAAACTTTTCTCACAGACGGCTTTGCTGTAGCTTGGACATACTTAGGGAAGTCCGGCTTTTTGTTTTGTTGGTTTCTTTTTTGACGGGAGGGGAAAGGTTGGAGGACTGGGTGGGGCTTGGCTGGTATTAACTTCTCACAAAGAGATTTTCCCCTATGTCTTCATGTGTATTCTCAAGATGAAAACTGAGCTGACTACCGCACAAAGTACCCGCCTTTCTTATCCGTGCCTTGGAGGGCAGTTCCCTGGTGTTAAATTCATTTCCTTGTTTTCTTCATGGAAATTAAAAGGCAGAACAAGTCCAGAACAATCAAGAATGCCCATGCTAAGAGCTTTCCTGGAGCCAAATCTTACCTGAGGTCCAATGTTTTTCTTTTTTTTTCTTTAGAGAGCCAGAAAGATGAGAACGATCTGAATGAGGAGCGAGAAATATTCACTGAGATGATGCAAGTGATTGAGCAAAGGGACAGACTTGTGGAGTCCTTGGAGGAGAAGCGCATCAAAGAACAGGCTGAAGACCAGCACTTTGAAAACTTCATGTTCCCCAGGGGCTGTCAGCTGAGCAGGGCGTGAGCACGCTCGGGGCCCTTGCCCTCAAAGCAAGCTGACGATGGGCCCAGGCCAAGCACACCTCACACATTCAAGTCGCGCTTTCTTCTCCAGAATTTCTTGTACCTGGAACTGAAGTTATGCCTACTGCAATATAGTTTTTAAAAAACTAAAATTCTCTCATATGTACTGCAGCTGCCCAAGATCCCGCCAGAGATTATAACAAAGAAAACACAATAACAACAAAAATACAAAGACTTTTGAAATTGGCAATCAACTTCAGCAGTTCTCTCAGACTGGAGGTGACCTTGGCAAATAACAGCATTGTTTCCCCTAGGAAGTGACACAGAGATGGACTTCCCTGTTGCTTTTATAAATTATCTTCCCAATTCATTGAGTTACACATCTTAAGATTTTTAAGAAGCTGCCTTTTCATTAATATATCCATATTTGCTTTTTTTGTATGGATGACCGGTTTCCAAATGTCAGAAAGAAGCAGCCGCAGTGTAAAGATTAGGTTAATATTTAAATTGTGTTTCCAGAGAAAGAGGAGAAACCTTGAGATTACTGATTACCTAAAACAAATACCTCATATAGCAGGTGTTAATTCAATCCAGGGCAAATTTAATTTGCCAGGTGTATTTATAAGCCTTAATATAATATACATAAGCAATGAGAGTTTAGTAGAACATTTGAGCCTTAATTTTATTAAAAAAAAGAAGAAAGGAAAAAGGAAAGAAAACTTCAACTTTATGCCAGCAGGATTGTTAGTGCTCACCAAATAGTGTTGGCTTAGGAAAGCTTTTTATTCTCAGAGCACTCTCCTCATTGCCCTGGGAACATAGTGAATACATTTTTAGGAAAGGAATGATTTTAAAGCTTTTTTTTAAAAATAACTGTTGGTAATGGCAAAAAGGACACTCTTTCATTTGTTGATAAAATATTGGTGAGGTAGGTGCCATTACTGAAAGGAACACTAGTGATTCAAGACGAGGAATGCTTCTCAGTGGTGGCATAGAGTCCAAGCAGAGAAGTGTCTCCAGCCCTCTCTCCAGGGCTTGCCCAGGATGACCCGGGACAAGGCCAGAACCACTTCGGACTTCAAGGTGGAGCTGAGTGCAGTGACCCCATTTTCCAAATCCCAAATTGGGTCATGGGTATTTCAACAACATTTTCAATGTGAAAAGAAAGCTGGGAGATGGAGTGTGTGCACTGAAAAGGGATTCCTGGGATATTTTGACTGTTCAAATGGGAACCAAAGAAAATATTTTAAATGGGATCTGTTGTCGTAAAGTATTTGATTGCTTTCCCTCAATAGGATTCTTTGAAGATTCAGCCTGTCATTGACAAAAGACACACTGAAGGACTCTTTGTGTAAGTTTGGCCTCTCTCATTTCTGCAAGTGTTCAAATGTATGGCTGGACAAAAGGTGCTTTGCAAAAGTTGACTCTGGCTGGAGATCAAACTTTTCTCAATATAAGTTGCCCCATGAACCACTTTTGAGATGCTGTCTGTGCCCACCAATCTGGCCAGCTGACAAGCCAGAAATCAGAAGTGTAACTGGATTTCCCAAGTCAGCCAGCATTTTGAGTGGTTCAAAACACAACCTTTCCATAGAATAGCAAGTTCTGAAGGTTTTAGTCTTTGCTTTTACTTCTTCCCTGCCTCCTTCCCTCCCTCCCTCCCTCCTTTCCTTCCTTCCTTCCTTCCTTCTCTTTCTTTCTGTTATTTTTTTAAGAATCAGGCAAGCCTTCTAGGGCCTGAATTCTAATATTAGGGAATATGTGCAGGCGTCTGTCAAAACTGTGTTACTTGTGACTACTTATCTGTATTTATTTATATATTTGGTAGAAATTACAAATATGATTTCCTTATAATTCTGGTTTTCTCATGTTGTAATTTGGGGAAGAGCTTTAGTATTAAATTATTGGTATATAAGCTATTTAATATACAAATAACCTAGGTGTTTGGGGCAGTGAGTTTAATAATATTAAAGATATATGGAGATAGTCAAAATAATATTTTCAGCTATCAGGCATTTAGAAGTAAGATTACAGATACACTAGAATGTAAACTCATTTTAAGAAAGATATATAACTTCAGTTTTCATTCTAGAATATTTAGAAATCAGTCTTGTCTGTCAGTTACATAAAAGTATGCTATTTGATGCTTGCATACATTTAACAAATAATGCCCAACTGTGTAGTTTCTGCATTGTTATTATGCAAAATAATTAATTGCCACTTATTTTAATTTGTTCAAGTTTTATCTAAAAGGAATGTTCTCCCAAGAAGGCCAAGAAAGGTGGTTTTTGGCCCTGGTATTCTGTTAATAGATGAGAGAAGCAGTTTGTTCACATTTTCTTCCAAAGACCAAAGACTATGTTCTGTGGTTTAAGACTGGGTATTATCTGGCTAAGTTAAAACATAAACCTCATATTTAACAGCTGTCTACCTACACCGGCTTTCAGTTTCCTTTGACATAAAAACCATGTCAATTAACATTTCCAAAAGGACACAAATGTTGTGGCTGTTAAACTATTTTGAATGATTCCATTCTTTATTTACAGTAGAGAATGTTCTGTGCCCCTCACAATGTAAAATATTGTGCATTTTGAAGACAGTTTCTTCCTGTAATATGAGTAGGAGTATGATGGAAATGGAGAGATTCCACTGGTCCATAAAGGACATTTGTGATCAAGGCTGAACAATTTAGAACTCCGAAAGAGGCATGGAGCCCCAGTCTCAGGTGAAATTTCACTGCCAGTTTCACACAGCTTCTCAGTTAAATCAAAGGGTTCATAAGAGTTAAAAGTTCAGAATTTTACATAGGTTGGACTGAGAGGACAATCCTAAGCTTGCGCTCCCAGACTATTCATTTATTGATCTGTTTGTTTAACAAACATTCTGTGAATGCCTGTGGGGTTTTGCAGCCCTACACAGGCGCTGGCATACAACAAGAATAGTAGTCCTCCACACCACCCACAAATAAATACAAAGAGAAACAAGTGCCACTCCCAAATAAATACAAAATAAAGAACTGTTTTTATTATAAGCATCAGCCTATTCTACTCACATTTATCTCAAGTAAAAAGACTTATAACCCCAAAAGTTCTTGTTTCTAAAATCGTGAAAAATAATATCAGGTTGTACTTTTTCATTTATACCTTGACTTTGGCAGTGGTAGGCTGCTAGGACTCAATGCTGAGATGCAGCATGTTAATTGCAGCTGAGAACCAAAGTGGCAGGTGTCTCAACTCTGAGGAGCTGTTATGAAATTGATGTTTTCTGCATTCTGGAGGCAAATAACAATTCTGCAATGTCTTTCTTCCCAGGAAGCAGATTTACAGACTTTGCCTTCCAAACTGAAAATGGCAGCATGTCCCACTCAGGTGGCTGATCAGAGAACTGCCTCAGTGGGGCAGGGGTGGCAGGGGGCCGCTGGGGCTGCCCCATGAATCATTGACTGTGAAGAGCGCACATGTAGGAGTTTATTGTAATAAGAAGGTTCACGTACAGGGGAGCGTGTACTGTTTCACCTACTGTTTATCTTCTATCCACATTGCTGAGTAGCTTGTAAAAGATTAATTTGCTCCAACAATTGGGAACTACTCACATGGATTGAAATGTGTTACATGTGCACTCCTATAAATGCTGAAATGAACCAAAAATAAATGGGTTTCTGTTGAAGGGATCAAAACATTTTCATGTGGGCTTGGTCTGGCACCTCTGAGGGCAGCATCTATTTCATTTCTTTCTTTTCGGTGAAAGGACCTGGGCAAAGCTTTGATTTCGTGATTTTTGTGTGGGAGTTTGTAAATTAACATGGATGCTTTATTCCCCCTGGGGCACCTGGAAGGACTTACCTGACCAGTAAATTGGATTCAAAGGGGAGGAGGAGCCAAGAAGGCTCACTTCAGGTGTATTTTCTCAACAAAGAAAGCTATTCTCAGAGCTGGGCAGGGTGAGAGACGGGGTGTATCCCACCCTCCACTTCTACCTCCTCATTTCTCTCAACCTCCCCATTTCTCTCAACCTGCTTGTCTGGTGCAGCTGGGTTTTGTGTTTCATTCACCCAACAAGAATGCTCCGGTTTTCACAGAACTGGTCTCTTCCTTCAACTCGTGCTCCTTCAGGACCAAGGTTTTGTTTGTTGCATTTTTTGTTTGTTGTTTTCTGGGAACCCCCTGCACACACAAATGTATGAAATGTGAGCACATAATACACCAGAATTGCCACAGCAGGCTCAACAAGTGGTCCACCCCCATCGCCTCGCACTAAGTTCCCCATTGTTTGAAAGCTTTTGTCTGCTGATGGAATATTTGAAATGATCTGTTTTTCCATTGAATATTAACAAAGAGTAAACGTGATTGCAGATGAGAGCTCCGGTTTTGCGAGCGCTCACTGTGGAGGGAAAAGCACCAGGGGAAGGCCAGCCTTTCCTTGGCTTCATGGTGGGGCTCATCTGCCTTCCTCCCAGCCACAGACACTCAGCCTTCACTTGACGCATCACCATCCCTCAGCCTCCAGGTCATGCTGGGTAATTTCATGCTCATTCCCTCTCCTAGCTCATTTCTAGAAATAAAAAAGCAAAACCAGTGCTGTCTGGCTCTCCTGAGGAGCCCTCAGACTCTGATAATGGTGACGGATACTGTGAACTCAGCTGGCCTCACCTGCCAGGTGTTGTAAAGAGCCTTGGAAGCGCACTCTTCCCTTTCATCCTGAAAGCAAAACCCTTCAGGTAAACACTTCTATTCTGAGATGATAAGGCTGAGATGCAGAGGCTCAGGGCCCTACCTGGTGGCACAGGTACATAGTGAGAAGGGCCAGGCCCAGATGGCCACCTCTTGGGCCTGGGCCCCCTGCCACCCCACTGTATAGCCCCACCCTCTGTTCCCACCCAGCCTCGCACCTTGTGTGTACCTGTTCCTTCCTTTGCTAGATCAGTTCCCATTACCACCTAGGGAAGATCTGGACTAGAAGCCAAAGCTGCCACTTTGAAGTGTTTCCTTCTGTATTTATCTATGTATACTCAAACATGGAGACAATCATTTAGAACAGTTAAATTACCTAGCCTTTGCCACCCCTCACAAAAACAAACATGATACACTAGGAAGATGCCTCCGTTTATCTTCAGTGATCACATATCCCTGACACACTGTGTGGATAAAATGAGAGTTCCTGTGGCCAGGATACTCACCTGGCCATGGTTGACTAGCTCACTGCACAGCTGTGGGCAATACATGGCTGTTGACTCTATAAAAAGAGCTCCGCCCAGTGCTCTGCACACGACATGATGGCAGGGCTGCAAGGATGCAGGAGAGCAGAGGCTGGAGTGGTGGCAGCGCTGAGGACAGAGGCCCAGAGGACAGCTGTGCGGGACAACTGTGCAGAGAGGCCCGAGGATGGCTGTGCAGGACAGCTGTGGGGACAGAAGGGCTCAGAGGATGGCTGTGTGGGATGGCTGTGAGGACAGAGGGGCCCAGAGGCAGAGACGGGCTTGCTGCATGCAGACTCACTCTGAGTGAATGGGATTTTAGTGAGTGACCTGCCACCTGGAAATAAAGTTGGGTAAAACCCTTTCACCCCAAGAACATTTTGCTGTCATTTTCTTTGGTCACACTGAATCCATAGTGAACTTGCCCAGGGCTGAAACCCATTGTCAAGACACACTGCCATGGACTCCCAGGGGAATTTTTTGCTCCAAATTGAGAAGCATGCACTACGTAATCAAATCCTCAGCCCACAGGGTAGGGAATGAAGAGCACAGGGCTGAAGTGAAGGAACAGGAAGGGGACGGAACATTTTGGGAACCAGCTGAGAGTAACCTGGCATTTGCAGGCCCTTCCAGAGACTGCGCAAGGAGGGGGAGGAGCAGGGACAGGAGTCCCTGGAAATAGCGCCCATGATTTTCTGCAAAACTAAACTTGATACTGGGGCAGCGGGTCCAAAATACCCGTGACCCATGAATTCTCCTTTTTCATTCCCAAAATAACAGAAAATGTTTCCATAAGAATCTGGGGGCATATGGGTTTGTGTAAGTAATCACTAAACCGTAAGTGTGGGATTTGAAAACAAATCAATAACTCAAGAAAAAGTCAGCAATTATAATCATTGTAAACACAGTATAACCCGAGCTAAGAGTCACTGATTCAGGGCTCTGACTCCAGCTCTGCCATTGCTCCTTGGATGACACTGAACAACTCAGTTGTGTCTCACTGTCTTCATCTGTGAAATGGGCTGATCCTCCATCTCTCTCCCTCCTTTCCTCACAGGTTCCACTCAAGAGTCAGGCTGCTGCATGTAGGCTCCAATTGTAAAATGGGAATGGCTAGGAAGTAAGTGTGTGGCTAGAATGGCCATGGGGATTCTCAGACTGGTCAAATCCCAACAGCAGAAACAGAAAACAGCACTTCAAATCTCAGTGGACCAGGTAAGAATGGGTAGTTTCCACAAAAGGAGATAGAAACAGTAAACTGGGCCAGGAAATGTACTTTGCAGAGCACTGTCACTGCCCCTTTGGGACTGTCTCTCCAAAATGGCCCCTGCTGACCCAGTGCCCAGGCCCTGGTGGGCCTGTGGGCCAGTGGTTCCTCAAGTGCGCCCTGAAGACGCCACCTGACCCTGGTGATTGGGTTCCATGTGATATTTCTGACTTCCTTTCTAGGAGGAAGCTTCTAAAGCACAAAGAGCCTTACTGTCTTTTCCAGCAAAGATGGGAGCAGAGACTTTTGCCTCTCCGGGCCACACAAGTTTGGAGGTGGGTGTGGAAGGAAGGTAGTTTACAACCATGACAACCTGCTCCTCCCATCACACTGGCCTGGGAAGGGGTAGGGGAGGCCTGTGACAGGCACACACCCAGGCACCATCACTGGGACCCCAGGTTTCTGCCTGGCTAGGTCTGAAGTGGCTGACAGGTGCTCTGTTCCCCTTCCCAAGCTTTGCCCTGATGCTCCTCCCCTGGAGTGTTCTCCAGTCCTCTGCTGGATGACTAGGGAGTACTGATTTTTAGAACTCCACCTCTACATGTGGTTGGCACTCACCTATCATGCTCAGGTGAGGAAATCCCCCTACTAATGTCCACAGGTCATCACTAGACTCCATAGATAAGCAGGTCACCTGTCTCAAAGAACTATGGACACATCTCTCCAACAGTGGATCACAGGCCATTTGAATGTCATCATCCTGTGTGGTCCTCAGATATACCTGCACCCCCAGTCCACCATGTCACGAACCAAGGCTGAGGTCTTCCACCTTCCCCTGATGCCTTGCTTGCCCACTCACAGAAGCCCTCACTTCGCCATCCCCACCACTGCCACCTGGGCTGCCTCAGTCCAGGCAAGTAGGACCCTTGAAGGACATGCTCACCAGCAGCCTGGCCTTCAAAAGCCACTGCTAATACCTAGAGTTGCCAAGAGGGATGTGCAATGAAAATTCTCATGTAAGACTCTCTCTCCAGAGCTGTTTAGCTCCCACACATTCTTCTCAAGAGCACACGTTGCTTTCAGTGACCAAAGAGGTCCCCCAGAGGCTCTGGCTGGCTTCTCTCCACCACCACCCTGACCCACCCTGTGCTGCTTTGATGTGGTCAGACAACCTCTTATCATTGATTGGGGTCCAGACCCTTTGTAAAACCCTCTTCACGATGTGCAGGGGCCTTCTATTTTTTCCCTTAGATGGTGTAGTATTTTGATAGGGCAATCATAACCACAAACTGGGTGGCTTAAAAACAACAGAGATTTATTCTCTCACAGTTCTGAAGGCTAGAAGTCCAAACTGAAGGTGTCTGCTGGACAATGCTTCTTCCCAAGCTTCTGGGGGGGATATTTGCTTGTTTTTCCAGGCATTCCTTGGCTTATGGCAGCATAACTCCATGGCCATCCTCTTCCTGTGTGTCTCCCCATCATCTTTCCTCTGTACATGTCTGTGTTTAGTTTTTCTCTTCTAAGGACATGGGTTCTACTAGATTAGGTGCCCAACCAACTCCAGTGTGCCTGGCATACTATTTTAACATAACTAATTACATCTGCAATGGCCTTATTACCAAGCAAGGCCATGTTCTGAGGTTCTGGGGGTTAGGATCTCAACATATCCTTTTTAGGGGACACATTTCAACCCGTGACAAATGGTATTCCCTTTTGGAAAATGTGAAACTTTCCCCAACAAAAGCCTCTTCCATTCTGAGTTTTACCTTGATTTGATTTGAGATGTTTGGTTTACCTCTCTCCTGGTCTTTAATGTATACAACAAAAAAAAGTACTACAGCAAAATCAAAAGAAAACGATGCAAGATAAGTTGCCTTAAATATGGCATATACAGATCATAAATGCAATTGGTGAAATGTGTCTGACAGGAGCACACAGACTCCAATTTCTCTCCATAATTTTAGTGCTGTAGTTACTCATTTACTCTTCTTTTAATGGTTACCCTGGAGGTTACAACATGACTCCGTGATTTATCAAAGTCCAGTATAAATTGTTACTTTTACTTCTTCCCAGTGGAGTTAAAGCATAAAACTCCACTTATGCACATCCCAACTGAAACACTTTGTGTATTTTAATTTGATTTATATATTTTTAAACCCTATCAGACATTATTGTTTTTATCTTATGTAGTTGATACTCTTTTGAATTCACCCGTATATTTACCCTTTTATTCTTTCTTCCTCTTTTATTTGTCCTCAAGCCTTCATCTGGGAAAATTTTCCTTCTGTCATACACTCTGTATTTCCTTCTCTTTAGGTCTGCTATTAACAATTTTTCTCAGTTGTGCTTTTTAATAAAAATGCCTTTATTTTCTGTCTTCTAGAGTGGACTCTTTTGGAGTCCTGAACCAAAACAAGGGGGCTGCTCCCTGCAGACCCTTGTTTGGTGGCACTTGAACTGTTGTCTACCCATCCTTGTGAACACAACTGCCCTCCTCAACCTCTCAGCCTCTCAGCTGCCCCTTCTGAAATTGGTAAATGCCCGGGGTTGGGGGAAAGTAGTCCCAAGTGATGGGCTTACCTCTCTGGGGTTCCTTTTTCTCCAAGGTCTTGGCCCTGTAAGTTTTGTTAGCTTTCCAGTGCTCTCAAGCAGATTTACTTTATTGTCCCACTTTTCCAGTAGTTCTCAGTAGGAAGCTTGGCTTGTATTACACAGCCTGATGGTCTGACAAGCTAAATATCCTTGTCCCATTTATTTGTTAAGGATATTCCTGGAAGCTGTTATTTTACACTTCTGCTTACATCCTATTGGCCAAATTTGAGTCATGTGACTGTACCTAGTTGGAAAGTACGGTCTTTATCCTGAGGGACCATGATCCTAGCTGAAGACTGTGGGTTTTATGGATTTGTGGGAGCACAGATTCTAGGAGCTATCACATTAGTCCCTCAGTTATTGGCTATATAATCTGAAGCAAGTTATAATCTCTCTGAATTTCTAGTCACTCATTTGTAAGATGGTGGTAATATGATTTATGGATCTCAAATGAGATACTAATAACCCACATTTATTGAGCTAAGACTTGTTATGTGCAGGGCACTGAGCTGAAAAGTTTACACCAACTCTCCTGTTCCTTCCAACAACCTTATGAGGTCAATGATCATTTGTTCTCATTATGATGAGGCGCAAAGAGGCTGGAAAACTTACACAAGATGATACAGACATTTGGCTGCAGAATAGAGATTTGAACCCCAGACCTTCATCACTCCATGACCCTACCCTGTAAATCACAAATTCCTTTCTGTCGAATTGTTGAGGGAAGATGAGAGGACCAAGATAGGACAATGCTGGGCAGCTGAGAGAAAGGCATGTTTAACTAGAAAAACTCATCTCCTAAGGGCAGGTCTGGGGATAGAAATTACTTAGTTTGGGACCTATGGATTTTTTAGTTAAGTGGACCACCTAGGGCATTGGAGAAGGAGACCGTATAGATAAAAGGACCCCACAGAGCATGGAGCTCCATGGCTCTGTTTTATAAATTAATCATTTTGTGATACATTTATAAATTTTTCTTGAAGAACAATATATACCCAGAAAATTGCTTACATTGTTAAGTTCATGTTCCATGAATTTTCAAAGTGAATACACCTGTAACCAGCACCCAGATCAAGAAAAAGAACATTACCAGCTCTAGTAGCCTCCCTCATGCCTTCCCACCCTCCCACCTGTTCCAATCTCTACCCCTTCCAAAGCTAATCATTACTCTGACTTCTAACATGAGATTGGTTTTCCCTGTTTTTGAACTGTACGTGAATAAGACAATAAATAGAGTATATGCTCTTTTGTGTCTGATTTTTTCACTCAACATTACATTGTCAGATACATTCCCATTGTTCATTCTCATTACTTACATAATATTCCATTGTGTGATTATCACAATATATTTATTGATTCAACTCTTAATAGGCATTTGAATGGCATTGCCATGAACTTTCTAAACATGTATCACAGTGCACAAATATGCTTATATCTGTTGGGAATAATCTAGACTGGAATTATTGATCATGAAGTATGTGTGGTGTTCAGGTTTACATGTACTGCCTTGGTTTTACATTACTGATGATGGGAATGAAAGCACAGAAAGGGTAGAGATTTGTTTGAGGTCACCCAGCTAACCGAGCCAGGACTGGAACCTGGGTTTATTCTCTCCCAGTTCAGTAGATCTAGGTCTAGATTTCAAGGAGAAACTGGCCTAAAGATTCAGTCTCACAGTAACACACATTTAATTCATGAGCTGTCCTTATCGTCTAACCCTTGAGTAAGAGGAGACCAATGACCAAGCATGAGAAGGGCAGCTGATCAGTGGGGCCTTAACTGTAAATACCAATTTAGGTTGGAGGGAGCTGGGACAGGTTCTTCCCTACATCTTATAAAAAACCAGTGTGAAGTGTTTGTCTCTGAGGAAGCAAGATTTAGATTCAGTCTACTTCAGTGCTAGACCCTGTGCAAGGTGCTTTCTCCTATATTATCTCATTGACTCGTCTGAACAAAAGCCAGATCAATTAATATCTGTAAGGACTGTAAAAGCATAATATCAGGAGAGAGCATATAACCTCTTAGCAAACTGGAACAGTTTAGAAGAGTGCTTTTCAAATGATCTATGGTAAAGGACCAATCCATCCTAACCCAATATTTTTGTAAAATATACTAAAAAATATGAATTATCAGAAAAATAAAATGAAAAGACATTCAAAATCTAAATTCCAATTTTTATTACTAGATTAAACAAGTAGAAAATTGCGATGTTAAACTGCTACAAAAATTTCTACAGTCAATCTCTATTTGTATCACTGAAGACCAATGACAAACAGTTTGCAGATCAGTATGGGCTTTCAGACTGCACTTTTGAGTAGCACTGGTTTATAATTCACACTCATTTCCCTTTGGCCTTTCAAGAGACACTGATAACTACCTTAGAGGCAGAAAGGTTTGGAAATAAGATGTGCATAATATTGAGACCCTGGAAACCATTCACACCCATACAGATTACTGTTTACATTAACAGGAATTTATCATTACTTCGTTTTTATCAGCAGCATAATTTTAACAATTCCAAAAACCTCTCACACAGATAGATAAAAGTTACAAATAACTTCGTTGTTCCTTTTAAGACTTTCCCCCCAAATCTTATAGCATTACAAATAGATAGCATTACAAAGATTATTTCTTTTCTGAGACTTTTTGAAAGACTTACCTTTTGTCTATCCATCCGAAGCTATTATATTACAATCCCTAACCAAAGTTATCAAGTACCACCTTATTGAAAGACCTGCCTTAAACCAGATTCCAAACCTTATAAATATCCCCACTGTGCCCTCCCTTGGTCCAAGATGCTACTTAAACTCTGCCAAGGCAGAGCACTCCTTACCACAGTGTGCAATAAACTCAGCTTTGCCTTCTCCATGACTTATTTTGCTGGTATTTTCTGGGAGTCAGCATTCAACAATCAAGACTTCATTTCCTTTTAGCCTTGCTCAGTGGCTTTCAAACTTCAGTATGCATGAAAGTTACTGAAGAAGTTTGAAATGCAAAAGTATGCATGAGCAATTTAAGAGATCCTCGGGGATAATTTTGATCATGCCATATTTAGGACCTAAGCCCTGCATACAGATGGCAACAATTGGTGAAGAAAAGAGAACCATGGGATGGTAGAGATAGAAGTGACTCTGAGTGCCCAAATACAAGTGTGTGGATCAGCTAGACCAATCACTTGGTGTCGTCCCTGTTAAAAAAATACTTATCTCTTGGTTTCACCTGAAATGTATTGAACTAAAATTTCTGTGAATGCATGTTTGATATGAACTTTCTAAGGGATTGAGATGCACAATTGTGTTTGAAAACCACCGTTCAGTTCCACCACTTCATTTTGTAGATGAAGAAGTGGGAACTCAGAAGAGGGAGTAAACTTGGGCATGATCACATAGCTATTGAGCTGTGTCTCATGATTCCCACACTGGAGATCCAATTTTGGAGATTTCCTTATGTACCCCATATCCGGAACAGGAACAATGAGTGATGCAATCAAAACACTATTCTGTTTTGGCCTCTCAACATCTCTTTAAGATACATCAGGGGGTGGTGGTTGTAATCTTCCTCTGCTCCTGGATGAGAATTCTAGCAGTCTTCACTTCTCTGCTTTCTGTTTGGTAACAGGCACCAGCGGAACTATAATTTTTTAAAAAGGTAAAATTGTAACTCTTTCTCAAAGATAAAATGAATACATATTCTGCTGAGAATCTATTGACTGTCTTGTTTTTTAAAATTTTGTTGCAGGAATTCCTTGTCAGTTTGCTGGTTAGCTCAAATAAAGACAGATGGGTTGCTAAAAGGCTTTAGGAACCTATCCTGGTAAGGAAGCACAGCTGGCCCTCCGGGAACTGCAAGTGGGCAATGGGAAGAGAGTCAAGGTCCAGGGAGCCAGTTCCCAGGTTTTCCATTACTCAGACCACATGACTTCTTAAGCACACCTCTGTGCACTATTCTTTTGTTCCTCTACTCATCAGCATGCATGTAGCTAAAACAGACACCCCAGTCTTGAGTCATCCCTAAGTCCTCAACTTCTGACAACAGTCTGGAGCTTAGTGCAGATTCTTGACTGAGACTATCTGATTGGCTGCTCTCCAGTAAAGCATTAGCTTCCCTTGGGTCAGGTGATCATCCGGCATCAATCAGTTGTCACTACTTGGAGGAAACACAATTGCCAAGGGGCTTGTGAGTGTGTGTGTGAAAGAGAGAAAGAGAAACAGCCAGTAGAGCAGGAGAACTTTGCGTGGGCAAGCACAATAAAACGTGCCTTTTAAATCATTTCCAGCAAGAGAGATCTTGAATTATTGGGGTTTGTGCCATTCCCATTACCCCAAGTGAGTGTGTTTGTCACTGTTGCCTTCAACTTAGGATAAATTTGGGGATAGGGGGATTCATAGGGGCCCATGGTTGTACCTTCCCATTCCCATTTCTACCAAAATTTGGGATTCTCCTTTGCACAAGCCTTTGAGCTGCTAGAAATTGGGGGGTTTTGTAAGAATAAAACACCTCGGCCCTGCACTCATGAACTTCAAACTTGTCAGTCTTGGATGGAGATGAAGAGGAAGTTGACAGTCATGGATAAGTACGTGACTAGTTGGATGTGGCCAATTGGTGGGGACGGGACACATTTTTGGTTCACTCTTATTCGTTCTTCCTGCAGCTGGCTCACTCCCTTTCATGGGCACAAGCCATGGGCCTAGTAACTGTAATAAGAGGCAGAAATGCAGGGAAAGAGCGAGCTCCTCACTAAGCAGCTGGGCGAAGACCCTGGGCGCAGAGGAGCAGGTGGGTTCGGTTCTGTTCAGCAATCACTAGACTCTCCCTCCCCTGCATTCTGTGCCAGAATCAGCGCTGGGTGTTAACACCGGGGGAAACGAGGCTTCCAGGATGAGGGGTGTCTCACACACACACACACACAAGCAGGTAAGGTTGCACGCCCCGTAAGGGGCCGATCTGGGGCACCCTCCCCGCTCCGGACGACCGAGGGTCGCGGGGCGCAGGCCTGGCCGGGGAGCGCGCAGCTCCTTCCAGGGCGGAGGGCGGCGCGAGGGAGGGAGAGAGGGAAGGGAAAGGCGAGCGTGAGCTGCCTCGAATGCCTGGAATAATTCCGCTTCCGTTTGGAAAGCCGCAGCCTCAGTCCCGCCGCGCCTGCCGCGTCCGCCAGCGCCAGCTCCGCGTCCGATCAGCCTGTGGCTGCCCGCTCCGCCGCCATGGCCACCTCCCCGCAGAAGTCACCCGCTGTCCCCAAGTCCCCCACTCCCAAGTCGCCCCCGTCCAGGAAGAAAGACGACTCCTTCTTGGGAAAACTCGGAGGGACCCTGGCCCGGAGGAAGAAAGCCAAGGAGGGTGAGTGCGGCCGGGCAGAAGAGCGCCAGGGGATAGGGGGGCAAAGGGGCCGGGGCGCCCAGGACCGGGCGGGAGCGCGCCGCGGGTGCCCGGCGCGGTAGGGACGCGCGGCGGCGCGTGCGCGCGCTTCCTGGCTCGGGGGTAAGGGGAGGCCGGGGCCCTGCGCGCCCCGCGGTCATCGCCGCCCCCACGGGTGCTGGCCGCCCGGGGGCTGCTAGCCGGGCCGGCGGCGCCCGAGTGGGCCTGTGCGGCCTGGGGCCAGACGACGCCCGCGCTGGGCCGGGGGCCGACAGCCAGCCCCGGCGGCGGCGCCCTCCTGCAGGCCCAAGTCCCCGCCCTCCCCGCGCCCGAAGGCTGGCATTTACAAGTTTCTGCTGAAACTTTTCTGGAGCTGTCACTCTCACTCTTTGCCTTCATTGGTCTTTAAAATCGGGTCGTTTCCTAGACGTGCCGAAGTCAAATACAGCGTTGGCCTCTTCGGATCTTTTGTCCACCCCCAGGGCCCGGGAGGGCTCAGTTAATGAGTGGATCAACATCAAACGTGTGGAAAACCAAGCTGGCTTTCCTAGCGGACCCACCATGTAATAAATGATAAACTCTCACCCATGAAAGAACCCCGATTTGACTCACACTAGCATCTCGTGCTGTGACCCTTCTGTGAACTCAGGAGTTGAGGGCGCTTGGAAAAACCATTTCCTTCTTCCCACCAACGTGAATCGAGGCGACCGTATTATTTTCCAGGACGGTTTGCGTGTGAACTATTTTGTCTCATGGGCAGAGCTCGCATCTTGGTTTTCTTTTTGAAAAATAAAGTGACAGTTCTGAAGAAGCACTGGTGATAGATGTGTAGATAGAAATTGCTTGGTTAATTTTGTTTTTCCCTGTAGACTGCTCTCTGGTTTGGGAATCACCGTTTTGAAGGCTGCGATGCTGAGATGTAAAATCAGTTTCATGTTACTGAGTTAAAGCATAAAAAAGAACTCCAGGGTTGAGAATAATCAACTTGTCACAAAGAGCTAGACTTCTGTTCTCTGTTCTCCATATTGAAGTGAGAAGCAACAAAACACATCCTCAAAAATATTTTCCCCCAGTTTGATTATTTTGGTCAACTGTTTGGTTGGTTATTTTGAGTTGTGTACACTTTGTAGCAAACCATGAAATCCTGGCTTGGAAAGACTTTTTTTGAACTACACCTCTTTTTCCGACTCTATTCCTGATATGGGCTCTCTAGCTCAAGACTGGCAACTCAGAATTTCGGAAGCTCATGACCTACCAGGCATGCTCACCCCACCTCAACTCTTTAGGAAAGTTTACTTTGTTGTAACAGTAAAAAGTTGGTCTGTCTGTATCTACTACTATTCTGTTCATGGAGCCAAGAGAACATATCTGATGGTGGCTCTCCCGTCTTTTCAAGTGGACTAGTCTGTTTCCTGGAGTCTTCCCTTCACCAGTCCAAACATCCTCTGTTCCTGTAGCTGGGCTTCGTAGACATGGATTTGTGACCTAGCTCTTCAGTTTTGGTCAGGGCGCCTACTGGAGACTGTCAGTTTAGTTGGGATTTTGAAAACAGCAGAGTGGAGGGATTGCTTATCGAGTGATGGGAGTGGTTAAGGGAACCCAGAAGGGATGACAAGGCAACAAGGAGCTAGTAATAGGGGGAAGTGGTTACCACCCCTAAACCTGAAGGGACAACGGGAGCAAGCTGGAACCCCCTAAGAGTTGGAGCTGTGGCAGTGGGCTGCCAGACAGGAGCAGTCTCTGTAAAGGGACATAGCCACTGTCAGAAATGTGGACATTGGCACAAGAGATAACTCTGCATGTTCTTTCTCTCTTCTTGCCTTTAAATCTCTTGCTGGTGCTTCCCGTTGGTTGGACCCAGTGGAAAGCCACCAGGCAGGGGCTTGGGGTGATATCATCTGTTAAGACCCTTAGGGTACAGAGCAGGGCAGAGAATAGAGCATGGTCAGGAGTGGGGCGAAAGGGAGAGTCACCGTCAGACCCTCTCAAAGCAAGCTGCCTGGAAGTCAGCGCAGGTCAGTAGTCTTCCAGGCCAGCCGGTCCAGGTTAGATCAGGACTGTTGCCAACTTGGTTCTAGTGTGGACACCATGTTCTATTTAATGCAGCCAAGGCTGCTTTTCTTTATTCTATCAGCTACATCACACTGTTACCTCTCCCTGAGCTTGCTGTCAGCTTACGCAAAGACAGTTTTATGTCTTTTTTGTGTTTGCTCCTGAATCATTCCCTTCTCTGTCTCAGATTTACTTAATTGGGTTTTTGAAACCAAATGCAAGGTCATGTTTTTATCCTTGTTATACTTTACTGTTAAGTCCTGATTCTGTCATTCGGCCTCTTAGCTAATCCAGGGGATACAGTGAATGAGATGAAGAGCGCATGCTCCTTCTAAAGGGGCGGCCGTCACCCAACTCCAGCTGCTTGCGCTCCACATGGAGGTTCCATGCAGTCAAAGAAGGCAGTGGGGTTGGTCTGAGGTGACTTGCGCGTGGTGAAGGTGTACTGAGTCTCAGGATTTTCCTGTCAACGGCCTACTAACCACCACTTCAGTGACAGTAAGGCTTGAGCTTGCTCTGGATCCTGTGTAGACTCACAGCTCTGCTTGGCAGAAGCTGCCTTGTTCCGCTTCCCCTTCATGTTCTAGAATCTCCCATTCTTTATGATTCCTCAAAATCACTGATGTTGGTCTATCCACAAATTCTCAGTGCTTTCGTCGGCCCCAGGACTACCATTCATTCAAAACCTGTTGTGTCCCCCTGTATGTAGTGCACAAAGATTGGAAAGATGTAATACATGTTAGAATATTTAGGTCAATAATTTCGTGGAAAAAATATGTCTAAGAATACCTACTATTGTATCATACAATGACTATAGGAATGTACTCATAATACATTAAAACTAATAATCACTTTTGTGATTTCATAAGAAAAAATAGCGTTAGAGAGGCAAAGGAGAACAGAGGTTAAAAGTGTGGTGTTTGGGACCAGCCCATTGGGTATGATTTCTTGTCTGGCCTTTTATTTATTGCTATGATCTTTAAAATTTAAAATAGTCTTTTCATTATGGACAGAAGATTACACAGGTTCTGCAAATAGTCTAGTGGTCCGTGACTATATGAAGCCCATGTAGCCCTACTTTGGTCCCTTTGGAAATTAGGGATCTTTCCTTGCAAGTCAGATACTCCTGTTTCTCAAGTGTCCCATTTCAGCATTTTAAAGTATCTGGGCCCATCCCCATACGTTGTAGCTAAATGGCTTTTGTTTTTCTCTGTGGATCTCTTTTGGGTTTCCAGTCCCCCTTTATGCTATACATGGCCCTCCTGTGTAGGTTCTTAGACTGGCCTTTCAGAGCCCACTTGCCAAAGTGCCACTTTCTGTCTTTCTCCAGATGTGTTCTCAAGACTTACTCTTTCCAGGAGCACCAACGTGACTTGTGCCTGCCAGCCGAAGGTGCCCTGCATTAGGTCAGCAGCAACGGTTTCCCCTATCACTTACCTGTTTAGTATCCCTCAGAGTTTTACATTTTGTCCAGTGCCCAAGGTGTTCAATAAGGGTTTTGATTTAATTATCTTATAGTAATACCAGGACTTGCCACTTTGTTTTTCATTGGCTGTCCAGTGCAGCTGGGGAAAATCCCCAAACTCTGCAACAGATTCATGGTTTCTAGACCAAGCAGAACCCTCAGCCCTGCTGAGAGGACCTCTTCTTTCCTCATCAGCTCACATTCTCATTTTCCAGATTTCTTCCTCAAACGCTCACCACTCAAGCTCTTCCCAGACCTGGAGAGAGAAAAGTGAGTCAGGTGTGAACTTGTTCAATTTCCCTCCAAGCCCCCATTTCTGCACCTCTCCCTTCATGCTCCTCTCCTGCCTCAGCCACTCCCATGGTGGTCCCTTCTCCCCTTGCTCATGAGGCCCTTCATTTCTGCTGCTTTCCCAATGTGGCATAGCCAGATGACCTTATTCTTATATCCTCAGTCTTTTTTATGCTTCTCTGTCCCCCTAACAGTCTTTAAATATGTTTGAGTCTTTGCCATTTGAAGAAAATCTCCTGATACTGGTTTCCCCTTAAGCTACTCACCAGAGGTCTTGGAAGAGATGTCTGTACTGGCTTTCTTATCTCCTAGTCACTTCCTGGCCCACTGTTTCCATCCTTTTACCAATTATTCTAGTGCCAACCATGTGCCAGGCACTGTGCTAAGTCCTGGGATATGCAGGGAAAAAAGAGACAAAAATTCCTGCCTTCCTGGAGCTTACCTTCCAGTAGGGGAGACAGATAGTAAACAAGACAAATCGGTAAAACTTGTATATTGTATTAGAATGGTGGTAAGTACTGTAGAGCAAAATAAAGTAGGAAAAGGGACAATACAGGGTTGTGAGATGAGGGATGGTTGGCAATTTTAAACAGGGAGCTAGAGAAGACCGTACTGAGAAGGTAATTTGAATAAATATCTGATGGAAGTGAGGGAATGAGCCATGTTTATTTTGGAGAAGAACATGTCAGGTGGAGGGAATGGCAAATTCAAATGCCCTGAGGCAGGAGCGAGTGTGATGTGTTGAGGATCAGCAAGGAGGTCCCTGTGACTGGAGGAGAGACCTCAAGCGAGGTCTTGGGGGTAACTAGAGTGAGGGTGGGGCCAGGTTGTGTAGGGCCCTGAAGGCTGTTTTAAGAGTGAGAGGGGAAGGTTCTGGAGGGTTTTGTGCAGAAGAATCACATGACCACACTTGGATGGTGTTAAGTGACCAAGGGGGCAGGCATGGAAGCAGGGAGATGGGTTAGGAGGCTAGTGTAATGATCCAGGTAAGAGATGGTGGTGATCTGAGCTGAGTGGTAGCAGTGAAGGGGGTGAGCATCAAATTCTGGGCATAGTTTGAAGATACAGCAGGTAAGATTTAGAGAAAGAGTGGATGGAAGATGAGAGAGTAGGCTCAAGGTGACTCGAGGACTTTTGGTTTGAACAACTGCAAAGGTGGAACTGATTTGAACTG